CCTGATATTATTGTAACCCACCCAACACCAAAACAAATTTGCTTAATAATAGACTTCAATATTGAATTCCAATATTTATTACCAACTGGTTTCGGGACATCATTTGTTAAGTAATATAAGTTTGAAAAAATAGAAGTTTGAGCAGGTATATACCTGTCCAAAGTTTGAGCAGGTGTATACCTGTCCAAAGTTTGAGCAGGTATATACCTGTCCAAAGTTTGAGCAGGTATATACCTGTCCAAAGTTTGAGCAGGTATATACCTGTCTAAAGTCTTACGTAATTCGTCACTTCCCACTCCCCCGCCCCACCCCTCAAGCTTTCACTTAAAATTGTTTGTCCTCATGTAAAAAAAAGGCAAACTGTTTTTCAGGTACTAATCAACACAGCCTACTTGGGCCACTGCAAAGGAGCCTCAAAGGCCTTAAAGATGGCCAGGAAAAACTACATGAGCTTTTATGATGGCCGCCCAGGGGTGAAGAAGTTGGCCGCCCAGGGGTGAAGAAGTTGGCCATGATTCTGAACGTGGCCAGCGACTGTGGGGACGAAACCTCGGCTGTTGATGAAGCGAACAAGATCAAACTGATGGTGTCTGAGGTTGTTGTCGTCTCAGTTGGTGCCGCTAACCGGACATTCCTTGAACAAGATCAAGCTGATGGTGTCTGCGGTTGTTGTCGTCTCAGTTGGTGCCGCTAACCGGACATTCCTTGAACAAGATCAAGCTGATGGTGTTTAAGGTTGTTGTCGTCTGAGTTGGTGCCGCTAACCGGACATTCCTTGACCGTCTGGCGTCAAGATTTGACAACGTCTTGACCTTCTCTAGTGACCTTGAGCTGATATAGGGAGCCATCGGACAAATTAAAATCATCACGGCTAGTGTTGGTAGGTTTGTCACGTGTAACTTTAAATTGATTACACTGGCGTCATTACATTGTAATTGATTACACTGACGTCATTACATGACAAATTGATTTCACTGGCGTCAATACATGCTAAATTGATTACACTGGCGTCATTACATTGTAATTGATTACACTGACGTCATTACATGACAAATTGATTACACTGGCGTCATTACATTGATTACACTGACGTTATTATATGTTAAATTGATTACACTGACGCCATTACTTATTAAATTGATTACACTGGCGTCATTACATTGTAATTGATTACATTGACGTCATTGTATGTTATATTGATAACACTGTCGTCATTACATGTTAAATTAATTACACTGGCGTCATTAGATGTCAAATTGATTACACTGGCGTCATTACATGTTAAATTGATTATACTGGCGCCATTACATGTTAAATACACTGGTGCCATTACATGATACACTGGCGCCATTACATGTTAAATACACTGGTGCCATTACATGTTAAATACACTGGCGCCATTACATGTTAAATCGATTACACTGGCGCCATTACATGTTAAATTGATTACGCTGGCGACATTACATGTTAAATATGAAGCTGATTGCAAGAATGTGCTAATTTTTCGGATTTGCATTTGACTAACATTTAGAAAATTTACAGTTTTAACACTCAGTAATGAGATAGACAAACTCGCATTTCGCAAATCACCCACATATTACTGTCAGAAACGATGTCAGAACCTATGATACTTAACTGAACCAAAGTTTCAGAACACCGATCTTCCGTAAAAATCCATCCTATATTTGACAGACTAGTTCTTTAATTGTGTTGGTGTCCGCACTGATGTCTCTCACACAACTTGAAAACTATTATTCACAACCGACTTGGTTCAAGATTTATCATTTAAAATTGAATGAAATAATTGACTAACGTTTGGCAATTTAATTTTGTCCGTCTGCAGATATTTTATTTTGTGAGTCTGAAGCTATTTCCCCCAATTCTACTAAGGTTTTGATAACATACAATTATGTTATGTTGTCAGGAATATATTTTGGCGCCACCGCGTAAAACAAACTTTGTGTCTAACTATTTCTGCTCCCATGTATGCTCCGGTTGCAGACATTCATTTCGTCATCGATTCTTCTGGAAGTATCGGCGACGTCAATTACTCGAAAGAGCTGAACTTTGTTGTGTATCTGACGGAACATTTCAACATTGGCGACACGGCTTCAGTGCCATGCTGTTCTCAGACTTGACACAGATGTTGTTTACTCTGGAGACACAGACACACGCCATCATTAAACAGGTAGGTACAGCCTCAGTTGTGTGCTGTAGCTAGATACACAGACACACGCCATCATTAAACAGGTAGGTACAGCCTCAGTTGTGTGCTGTAGCTAGATACACAGACACACGCCAGCATTAAACAGGTAGGTACAGCCTCAGTTGTGTGCTGTAGCTAGATACACAGACACACGCCAGCATTAAACAGATAGGTACAGCCTCAGTTGTGTGCGGGCTGCTGTAGCTAGATACAATAGCAGAATTACAATCTCACGTCATGTATCACAACACTGATATAATCTATCACAACACTGATATAATCTATCACAACACTGATATAATCTATCACAACACTGAAGCAATGTATCACAACACAAATTTATTAAAAAAATAAGAGATGGTTTGATCAGCTGGTTGAGCAGACGTGAGACGACTGCTAACCTGAAAGTCTCGAGTTCGAATCCGGGGTTCATGTCAGTAGTATGTCTCTAAGTCCACCCAGCTCTGATGGGTAACTGACCCACGTTAGAGAAAGTAAAGGCGGGATGGTATAATGCTGACCACACTATCCCTTCATAAGCCGAGGTAACTGAAACAAGTGAACTCTACTTCACCTGCCCCATGGGCCGTCAGATTAGAAAGGGTACTTATAACAAAGATATAAAAAGATTACTATAATATAAAAATATAACAAAAATTATATTGTCACCGGTTTCTGTACCGATGTCTATAGTTACAAATTTTTTTCTTTAAAGACTGCCTTTTCTGACGGACGGTCCAAGGGAGAATTCAAGTTATAATCATCTGTTTTACTGAACTCTAAATACGAAGAGTTAATGTAGTTTGTTATCCTACAGGCAGTACTCTATACTGGGTGGCTTCAAATGTTTGTTACTGGTCAGGTACTCATTAGAGTTGGACTCAGGGAAGTGATACCGGCTAGAGACTGTAAATTAACAATTTCTTATTTTTGAAATGCTGTGATCTTTTAACTTGTTGTAGTGTACACAGTGCTACACTTAAGTACACAGTGCTACACTTAAGTACACCGTGCTACACTTAAGTACACCGTGCTACACTTAAGTACACCGTGCTACACTTAAGTACACCGTGCTACACTTAAGTACACCGTGCTACACTTAAGTACACCGTGCTACACTTAAGTACACAGTGCTACACTTAAGTACACCGTGCTACACTTAAGTACACCGTGCTACACTTAAGTACACAGTGCTACACTTAAGTACACAGTGCTACACTTAAGTACACAGTGCTATACTTAAGTACACAGTGCTACACTTAAGTACACATTGCTATACTTAAGTACACAGTGCTACACTTAAGTACACCGTGCTACACTAAGTACACCGTGCTACACTTAAGTACACAATGCTACACTTAAGTACACAGTGCTACACTTAAGTACACAGTGCTATACTTAAGTAAGTACACAGTGCTACACTTAATTACACAGTGCTACACTTAAGTAAGTACACAGTGCTACACTTAAGTACACCGTGCTACACTTAAGTACACCGTGCTACACTTAAGTACACCGTGCTAAACTTAAGTACACAGTGCTACACTTAAGTACACAGTGCTACACTTAAGTGCACCGTGCTACACTTAAGTACACATTACATCCAAAATTCCACCGAAATGAGAAAGAGTTTTTTTACTTTTTATTTACGTTTATATTTACAAGAAATTTGTGACATTTTTTTTCTCCACTCCCAATCCAAAAATTAACAACTTTTTCACTGATAAAAATAACGAGATAATTAATTAAAAGTTTAATAAAGCTCTACAATAATGTCAAGAAATATTTCAAGAGCAGACATCCAACAGACGCCATGTTTCTTTACATTTTAGAAAAGACAGACATCCAACAGGCGCTATGTTTGTTTACATTCTACACAAGAGCAGACAACTACTACTCAACTACACGTCTGAGTCCACCCACAGCCCACTATAATTTAATCCACCAGAGTTAGATCCACTGTGGGGATGGTCAGACCTCCAGTCCCACCCCAGTCTGTAGACCTGAGCCCCACTGCTACCTGGACAGGTATAATTAGTGTACGTGTACCTGGTGTCTCTTCCCCTACCCCACTGCTTGTGTACCCAGTGACCTACAGAGACCTGCTTAGAACAGCCATGAGGATGTGACACTATAATGGTCAGCTTGTCCACATCTCTACGACTCTCGAATTTGTCCCTTACTTTCTCACGTAGACCTTCATATCGCCTCACCATCTTCTCCAGTTTATCCGCTACATCTACGTCATGTGTCCCACAATACAACAGACACCAGTCTCTATCAGTGTCCGACCCCCACACCTCCCACCCACAAATCTTGACCACTGGACTTTGATCATCATCAAACCACAACCTACAGCTGGACTGTCTCGCCTCACTCTCATCAAAAACCACATGTGTGGCTGTCACCACCTGAACCTCCCACCACACTTTGCTGGGCGTGTCCGAGTGGTCACATTCAAGACAAGGACAAGATATATAGCCCCACATTTCCTCTGTGTACTTGGTCACATCCCACACCCTCCCAGTCCCTGTCCTCAGTGAGTTCTGTCCCCTGGTGTTGTAGCAAGGATATGGATCTTTAGTGCCTGGTACAAACTCTGGTCTCTTTAGACTGGTCAACTTAACGGCTATCCTGACAGTTAGGTCAGCCAGGGCTTTAGTGAGGTCATAAACATCGTTGTCTTGGTAACCAGAAGGAAAATGTTCAAGACTTAACTTATTTACAGGTACAAAGTTTTTATGGCCAGGATTTTTCTCACAGTTTGCCAGGTGTGTGTGTAGATCTGCCTCACCTTGACCTTCAAGACATTCTTGTACTTCATGTGTACCTGTACAGGTAAACGAAACAATTTTATTACTGTAAACATTTCATTAGCTGTTAAACTTTGACAAACATAAAACATGAAAACTATCTACAACATCCAACTGTCACAACCATCTCAACCATCACCATCTTAAGATATTGATCCAGTAAGAATTTCAAACTACAGAATGTTCCAACATAAGGACTTCATCAGCACAAAAAAATAGTACGCATGCAGGTAGATAACTTTTTAGGACCAATTTTTTCCAAAGAAACGGACATTACCTGTAAAATATCTTGAGATGTCCTCTCCACTGGCCATACTGTTGTGGTCATCTAGACTATCCTCTCCACTGGTCTTACTGTTGTGGTCATCTAGACTATCCAAATTAAATCCTGTTAAATAAACCAGAACACAAAGATTTGACACATTGTCTACATCAGCACTAAACCATGGCTGTACACTTGATTAAGTTAAAAGATAATTAACAAACTTACCTGTAACTTGATGTGACAGATCTCTACTGGCCTTTACTGTAGTCTTATGGTCATCTGTGGCAGCTGTTTGATTGAAATAACCTTGACCTTCACATCACATTCAGCAGCCAACAGTTACTCTGTTATAGTTAAAAATATTTTGACTTTATAAAGAAAGAAGTTTATATGGTAGCTTGACTAGTCATCATCCAGTGTTTCTTTACAAACTACATAACAAAAGCCACTGGTCAATGATATGACAAAAAGACGTGTGGCAAATTTTAAACCAACAGCCAATAGATAATTATATAAAGGCCCGTAAATCGGTATGGATTTGTCAACGCTAAGAAGAGAAAAAGATAAAAAAAAAAGATGCAAAAATGGCTATGGACTGAAATTCCCAGGGAAAAAGGAGGATGGGCCGGCCAAAGAAAACATGGAGAAGAATGGTTAAGCTGGGCTCACATGGGCACAGATTAAAGGGGCAGCTCAAAACAGAGTTCGCTGAAAACGTGTAGTTACAGCCCTTTGTTCCCCAGGGGCCACAAAGGAATGATGATGATAATGATGGTGATGAAATTATTCCCTCCCTCCCCCCCCCCCCCCTCCCCACGGCATACTAACTCACTGATCAATGGTAAGAATACATGCTAATTTTTCTATGTCAAAATAGTCTACTGTGTACTTGCTGGTAAGAAACCATGCTATTTTTGCCATGTCCAAATTGTCTACTGTGCACTTGCTGGTAAGAAACCATGCTAATTTTGTCATGTCCAAATTTTCTATTGTGCACTTGCTGTGATGTATCATATTATTATTTCTAGCAAATACTATTGATGTTCTTTAAATTTATTTTACACACTATAAAGTGTACATTCAAATGTTGTAGCTTATCAGTACAATAGTTCTGCCGAATTAAAATCATGGCATTACATAACTTGATGACAAACTTAGATAATTTTTATTGAAATGGAAAAACGAATTGTGACATTTTTTAAATCTAAATAAGATACCGGGAGTATAAACTAAAAGATCATTTTTGAATATTAAACGTACGTGATTAAAACTTTTTTTTAAAAAATGAATAAATGCTGATTATTTAAAAAATCATTTTTATTATTAAGAAATTTTTTTTTCTAATTCTTAATACTTAAATTTCATGAAATTCCATATTTCTTTCATTGTATGATATTAAAAACATGTATACTAACTTAAATAGTTGCTATGTGTATAAATGTATATTTGTCTTTTTTGTAATACGAGAGTTAAGTATTTTATGTGTATTAATATGCTAATTATATTTATTATCATATTCTATTTACTTGTAATTAACTTGTAAATTAGAAGAGTAATTTTTGCTAGTTTATCAATTTGGCAAACCTAAACTTAAGATGGTATCGGCGTTTACATTCATGGACTAGAATCGATTCTGATACTACGCATCACCTTGTGAGTAATGAGAGTAAAAAGAAAAATTAATAATATGTTAGCTATTTTCACAAATTATTATTGCAGATATATAATGATGTATTTATGTTTTATCAATAAGAATATTGATTAAAATAAATTTTTCTCCATTTTGTGTAAATTTATGCACATTATACGAATGGCGGGAAAGTACATGAATTACCCTATCAATATTTTAAGAGTATCGACTTTTAATCGTCGGCAAATGTTCTGTCTAAATTCCGATAAATTTAATCTCATCGTCATAAGTTAAAAAATGTACATTATACATTTGCGCAAATATAAATAGTAATTAGATTAACCAAAGTACTGATAATAAAAGCAGAATAATACAAGGTTAATCAATTATAATACCATCGATCATTGGAGGTGATCAATTGACTTATTGTAAATTTTTATCAGACAAATTATCTGCTTTAATCAAACTACTTTAATTATTACGTGTAACCAATGAAACAATAATTTAAAGCAATAATAATTCCTGATCAAAAAATAAAATTAACAAATTAATTACCTTATTAAGTTTTGCGAGTTGAAATGTCATTACAGATCAAGCTTGGGTGGTTTCAATTTCAATAGTAGGCACGAAGATAATTTTTGAAAGAATCACTGGTCTCTACTGTAGACGGGTGTAAATATTTTGTTTGAATTTAAAATGACATTTACGCCTATTAATATATAATGCTGAGGTCAAATTTAGTTCTTCTTCTTCTTCGTTCTTAAAATATTAATGTTGAAGGGGATCGAGATTTATCTGCCAGTGGGTTTGTTCGAGACTTTGTTCGAATGTATCAACCATATATATATATATATATATATATATATATATATATATATATATATACATATATATATATATATATATATATATATATATATATATATATATATATATATTTATATAGAGAGATTATAGGAAATTGGGGACATAAGACCTGTAGGACATAAGACCATAAGAACATATGACATGTATGACCTATAACCATAAGAACATATGACGTGTAGGACATATGACCATAAGAACATATGAAATGTAGGACATATAAGAACATATTTCAATTAAGACATATGACCTTTGTCAAAGGACCAGTAGCACACACGACCAGTAGTATAAGGAACCGTGTAGACTATAGGAGCAGTAGAAATTATGTCTAGAGGCTTAGCCCCTCAAAACAAAAGTGTACACCGTGACTGAAGGTGTTGGGTCGGCAATGTCTTATGTAGTGCTTATGTACATTTTATGTACGTGATAAGTAATTGCCATGTGCTTGGCAAGTACCCACGTCGAAGCATGTTCACCCTATGCACGAATTAGAACAAATACTAGCCATCGGTACCCGTTTCACGTGAATTATGGGCCTATATATTTTACAAGGTTGAACTTGTTTGAGACAAATAATTTGTAAAATAGTTATTGGTCAAAACGCAATGCGCATTACTACACGCTGAACGATATTAATGACAAAGCAAAGAAATAACTAATTAGCTAAAAATCCGACACATTTAAAGTAAAAACTTATAAAAGTTTAGGCCGAGAAAATCATATTGTATACATTTCATAGCGTAAGTAGCTCTAAATCATATTTGAATAAAAATAGTTCATTTCTTTATTCTATTCTAAACTCGGAAGATGACGTCATTAGTTTCGTGATCTTTTTTTTAGTGTAAACATTAAGTGACGTCATTGTTAAATACGCTCTAGCCTACCTATAAACGCTTTTCCGGTTGCGTAATTAAATTTGTTCTTCTACATTCGAATACGCCTTTATTTTTTATTTTTATTTTTTAAATACAATTGTCGTTATACATTTAAAACATCTACCATATTATTTTCAACAAAATTCCGTATCAAGTTCTCGATATATCGCTGTAGATTCTGATGTGATGTCCGGCGAAAATATTTTGCGGAAAGACAGACAGAGAGAGAGAGAGAGAGAGAGAGAGAGAGAGAGAGAGAGAGAGGGGTGCGCACGTGGGCTTTTATACATTAGGATTTTTAAACATTGTCGCGCTGCCTCTCTTCGGAGAAAACAGTCGGTGACGTTTCACATCCTTACGGAATGGAAAAGCTGGGTTTTGTAATTTGGCTCTCTAATACTCGGATTACTTTTAATTTTTGAGCGACCTCCGATGGTCAGAAGTGGTACTTTACTCTATTTTTTTTCTAAATACCGGTAATTTTAGTACTGGTGTAAATTTGAGCTGATATTTCCTTTCTAAAAACATTTGAAATCAGCGAACAACTGTACACTATTTCAAGGATAAACATGATTTATATGGCAGCGTCTTATTTTCGTGAACATTTTTCTAGCGATTAGGATTAATAAAAAATATTAACTTCAATCTTCACTTAACGGCGATGGAAATTAATGTGTAGATTTGTTGACGTAGACGTGAACTTGAAACAATCAGCTCCCGCAATGGTAGACTTGATAGCAAGATAACACTAGTCATTAAACTAAATGTTGTTATCTATTAGTTACAACACCCTCCACTAGAGGACCCCTCTGTAAAAAATTGTGTACTGTCATAATACCACTGTTACTTATTTAAATCTATTTCTGAATCAGTATATATGGATAATTGTATAGCCTATGTATGTTTAGAATAGTCATCTTAAAACTGATGCTATGGTCATTGATTTGGTTTTTTCCGTAAAACTATATTGATCAAACAAACGTTACCAACACAGACACCCAGGTAGTTTAGTGCAGTATTAAATTGTTAGAAACGGTAATTCACAAGCACTGCACGAATCATCTTCACACTAGAGTGAACCTTGACATTGGCGATTTCTGTTAGCTCCACATTCACTGCCACAATCCTGGTTGTAGTTTTAAAACAAGACATTCTTGAAGAAATTTTAGTAGGATCTTGTTTGTCTAGCTTAAACAGGACTGGCGACTAGAAAATCACAAGATAGAATTATTTACTCTACCAATTTGTCCCATTCGGGCAAGTGTCCATTCGGGCATTTGTCGCATTCGAGCAAGTGTCCATTCGGGCAAGTGTCTTTCGGGAAAACGCCCGGCTCCCGTGTTGCAGTTATATCATATTAAGATTTCTATAGTTTCAGATAGGATGTAACTGTGCTAAACATTGCGGTATGTGCTCTTTTATTTTAACTATGTAATTTAGTAATAAGCTAAATACTTTCAACTGATTGCCGACAATATGAAGCGAATATAGGTTAGGACGTGGACATAGCGTATGTAGCGGAATTAGAATGCTTACGTTTTTACAAAAGCGTTCTGTGTAAAAGTACTTTCGATATTAGCTTAGTTATACATAGTCAAAGTGGAGCAATATATAAATGTAAAGAAAATAGTCTCGCGCGTACAACTTTTTTTTTCCTCTTTCTAATTTCAGTTTTTATAAAGCCCTGTCATATGATCTTACTGAGAGAGATTAGATTATAGACAGTTGGTTAAGGACGTTCTAGGGCTTTTATTCACAGTATATGATAAGAGATAGAGAGTATTTACTAAATATATTTTAAAGTATAGTATGATAATGCCGCTGTAAAAACAAAATGGCAAGGTAGACAGGACTGGGGCGAAGTTGCTGGGAGAGAGAAACTGTTAGTGGAGGAAAGATTTTAAGTACAGAATAATCGATGAAACTTGTGTTTTATCTTAGAATAATTAATAGAGTATGAAATAATTTTATTTAAGCTTTTTATAGAACGTAAGGAAATATTTGGTTGCTACAAGTTGTTTGTTGCTAAGAAATCAACAACAGTCAATCCGCCAAATAAAAAAAAAAATAAAAAGTAATTCTTACAGTTGGAAAGAAAAAAAAAAATTACCTTTATATAAGACACCGTCGTGTATCTACCAGCTGTTGTCTGGGGCGTTGTTTTACCTGGCTAGTCACGTGATTGTCGGATATCTTCCAGCGTTGTGATTGGCTGATATGTTTAGTTTTATGTCAGATGTTTAATTGTTACTTAACACGTTAGTTAGTTGTCAGCATAAACAACAGATAAAAAGATAGTCCATCAAACTGATTGCAGTGTTGTAACTATGTAAATAAAACTTCCCGTTTTTGACTCAACGCCCCATACAGCAGATGAAGTAGAGTTCATATATTTACTGACGCTGGCATCTGGATGGATGATGTGTTCATTGTCAAGTCAACCCGACTTTCGTTTCCTAAACGTGAGCAAGGTACTTGATAGAGCTGGATAGACTTAGTGGCGCTCTGCTGTATTTCTGGTTCCTATAATTGTTTTAAACTTTACCTAATTTGCTAACCTTAATGTTTGTGTAAGATATTGCATGACACCTTTGGAAATGACTGAGTGCAAAAGAAACGCTTTGGAGGTCTATGGAGCAAAGTATTGTACCAGCTTACAGTTGAGGTCTATGGAGCAAAGTATTCTATCAGCTCACAGTAGATGTCTTTGGGGAACTATAACCACAACCAAACGAAGAATGACTTACTGATGGATATAGGATTCTCTGGCTGAGACAACCGGATCGTCAAGGGGAGTTGATTCTTCTGCATTAAATATAATATCTGTAGTCCACAGCTTAAAACAGCTGTCCCTGTCAAAGTCCGAATCATGATCCATTCCATAATCCGCATCACTCTCTGTGGAGTATAGGGCAGGAACAAATCTCAATTTCCAACATTTCACTCTGTCTTGGGCGAGCCACTTTAGTTCATGCCAGATCTTGCCAGTAGCCTGCACTTCTTCTTCCATCTCTCTCCTCCATATTCCCAGTGGTCTTCCTCTCTTTCGCTTTCCAGGCGGAGTCCACTTTAGCGTCATGTTGGGGGGTCTTCTTTTGCTCATGCGTAGGACATGGCCCAGCCATCTCCATCTCCTTATCGTCAATATTGAGAGTCACTAGATCCAAACTTTAGCGTCAATATCGAGTCGCTAGATCCCAACTTTAGCGTCAATATTGAGAGTCGCTAGATCCAAACTTTAGCGTCAATATTGAGAGTCGCTAGATCCAAACTTTAGCGTCAATATTGAGAGTAGCTAGATCCAAAATTTACACACACACACACACACACACAAAATACAAACAACAAAAATGAGAAAGAAAACGAGTTGATTGAAAACTATTTATTTACGTTTATATTTAGAACAAAATTTGTGACATTTTTTTCTCCACTCCCAATCAAACAATCAACAACTTTCTCGCTGATAAAAATAACGAGATAATTAATTAAAAGGTTAATAAAGCTCTACAATAATGTCAAGAAATATTTTAAGAGCAGACATTCAACAGGCGCCATGTTTGTTTACATTCTAGAAAAGACAGACATCCAACAGACGCCATGTTTGTTTACATTCTAGAAAAGACAGACATTCAACAGGCGCCATGTTTGTTTACATTCTAGTAAAGACAGACATCCAACAGGCGCCATGTTTGTTTACATTCTAGAAAAGACAGACATTCAACAGGCGCCATGTTTGTTTACATTCTATACAAGAGCAGACAACTACAAGTCCCACTCCACCCCACTATAATTTAATCCACCAGAGTTAGCTCCACTGTGGAGATGGCCATACCAGCCACACCCCAGTCTGTAGACCACAGCCCCACTGCTACCTGGACAGGTGGCCGTTGTGTACGTGTACCTGGTCGAGCTACCCCACACCACCTGCCTGTCCACCCAGTGACCTACAGAGACCTGCTTAGAACAGCCATGAGGATGTGACACTATAATGGTCAGCTTGTCCACATCTCTACGACTCTTGTATTTGTCCCTCACTTTATCACATAGATCATCAATCCGCCTCCACATCTCCTCCAGTTTATCACCTACATCTACGTCATGTGTCACACTATACAAACTACACCAGTCTTCCTCAGTGTCTGACACACCCACCTTCCACCCATAAATGTTGACCACTGGACTTTTATCATCATCAAACCACAACCTACAGCTGGACTGTCTCGCCTCACTTGAATCAAAAACCACATGTCTGGCTGTCAACACACGAACCTCCCACCACACTTTGCTGGGTGTGTCCGAGTGGTCACATTCAGGACAGGGACAAGTTCTGTAGGTCTTGTATGTCTGGTCCATCCTCTCTGTGTACTTGTCCACCTGCCCCACCCTCCCAGTCCCTGTCCTCAGTGAGTTCTGTCCCCTGGTGTTGTAGCAAGGATATGGATCTTTAGTGCCTGGTACAAACTCTGGTCTGTCTGGACTGGTCAACTTAACGGCTATCCTGACAGTTAGGTCAGCCAGGGCTTTTGTGGTGTCATACAAATCGTTGTCATGGTAACCAGAAGGAAAATGTTCAACACTTAACTGTTTTAGAGGTACAAAGTTTTTATGGCCAGGATTTTTCTCGCAGTTTGCCAGGTGTGTGTGTAGATCTACTTCACCTTGACCTTCAAGACATTCTTGTACTTCATGTGTACCTGTACAGGTAAACAAAACAATTTTATTACTGTAAACATTTCATTAGCTGTTAAACTTTGACAAATATAAAACATGAAAATTATCTACAACCTCCAACTGTCACAACCATATCAACCATCACCATCTTAAGATACTCATCCAGTAAACATTTCAAACTACAGAATGTTCCAACATAAGGATTTCATCAGCACAAAATACAGTAAGCATGCCGGTAGATACCTTTTTAAAATCTTTCCAAATGGACATTACCTGTAAAATATGTTGACATTTCTTCACAGGCCATACTGTTGTGGTCATCTAGACTATCCTCTGCTATACTTGCTAAAGTGTTGGGGTCATCTACACATTTAGTAGGTGATGAGTTACTTATACCTGTCAAGAAATTAGTTCAGTTTAATTTGTTTTTCTGAGAATCTAAAGTTACCGACAATAAGGAGAAATATAATTCTGTATGATGGTCAGTTTAGAAGATTATGCACAAATAATATCTCAGATTAACATATCAGATTACATGAAACTGACCTTTGAACTCCCCACTTGACTTTAAGTCATTAGACAGCACACACCACTATGGAAGATCCTTCAGGCTCTGAAGAGAGAAATAAAATTATAGTGGAACTGTCATTAGCATAGCACTACAGAATGACAACATTTATGATGGAACTGTAATTAGCATACAACTACAGAATGACAACATTTATGATGGAACTGTCATTAGCATAGAACTAATGAATAACAACACTGTCTAATCAGTAATTAGGCTGTTACTAATGACTGCACAGGGTCCACCACTTAAAGACCTAAAATAAAATAGCATTATTTTCTGCAATAAATTTTATCTGGATTTAGTCAGATTTAATTCTAGTTTTGCTGCTATTATTATAGTGCTATACATCATGGTAAAATATGATTTTCTCTTAAATCTATAACTTTAGACTAGAATCTTTATCTTATTTAATATAAAATCTAGATCTAGATTCTAGATCTATTTAATAAAAATAATAAAGCATGTCAAAACGTAGAGAATTTTGTAGAACCTTTCGCTCTAATCTAGATTTAGCTTCTGCTACGCTAGTGCTAGCTTAGTTAGAGTCTAGACTCTATTTTTTAAAGTCTAGATTTAATTTATCTTTAGCACTAATTGCAGCAAAACTGGAACTAAATATAGTGTTCGAGATCTAGATCTAGATCTAGACCTGTGTTGAGACCGGAAACCTTGGGTTCCAAAAGTTGAGACCAAGCGTAACGCAAGCTAGAACCAACAGGCCTAGATTTACTATCGCTAGCAGAAATGAAGATCGGATTTCGATAGCCAGAACAATTGTAACTTTTATTGCCGTAAACAACATTAAAGCAGCCAAATTATAAAGTTTTGTAGAATGATTTCAATTTCAACACATTGGCCTACATAAGCAAAATAAGAAGTGACGTGTCACTGTGGGAAATGGGACGACGCCGCTCCAGTCACTAAGCCGTCCTTACGAGTTTGTCAACTTTAATAATGTGTTCTGAAGTAAAAATAGGCCCTATTGGAAATTGGTGATTAAAGTGCTCTTTAAATATATTATTCTTGATAAAATTGTAACACATACCATGGTTACCAGTCAGGGGGATAATTTATAATTTATTTGGTTGTGGCCCTTCTGTGAGCGATTTTTACCAGTGTTTTCATGTCATGTGACCTCTGGGACTCTGGGTAGTTGTACCTGTGTCCGCAGCATTCAAGCCCCAGGTTGCTAATGACACGGACCGTGTAGTTGTTTAACTTGGTTATGTTAAGGAATTGTTTTTTAACATACCATTGCCGCATGTTGCAGATTAGGCATGTGAAGTAACTTATTTAGATTACTTGATTGTATTTTTCTACTAGTGTTGCATGTTGCGCACTAGTTAGGTGAAGTATTTAAATTTATAATACTTGTTGGCAATATTGTATACTGGTCGTAACTTATTTTATAACACCTGTATATTTATGTAGCCTACACGTGATAGTGTGTTCAGCGATGTAACCTGTTTGTTGTTTACATTTGTTTTAGGGCTATATGCCGTTGATGGCTTTTTATGTTCATGAACTAGCCGTGTAATGATTTGCAATAAAGCCCGTATCTAACAACCAAATCGTCGTTTTGTTGTGTGGGAATTGTATTTTTTTTAAATAGTAGGCTTTTTTGTATAAAAAAATGTAAAATGGGAAAAAAGAGCAAAAAGTAACAGAAGGTATGTGTCAAAAGTACATATTTTGTGTCATTTGTAAAGCTATTTTAAAGCTTTTGGTGTTTCCGATATAACGGAAAATACGATTATATCGATACGTTGTTGTATAATTTTAAAACAACAAACAAAAGAGTATATCATACCGACTAAAGTAAACAAACAAAGACAGGAGATTGTTTACATAGTAAAAAAAAAAAAGACTACCCATCCCAGTGGTTAAACACCAACTTATCTTAAATTTGTTTTGATTTCCTGTGCCGTAATATGTTTGGTCAATCATCTCAATGCATCTCTACCTCAGAGGCGTAGCGAGGGGGGGGGGGGGTGGCGGGGGTGCGGGGGTGTTTGGTCAATCATATCAAAGAATCTCTACAATTTATTATTTTTACTTTTATGGAGTTTTATGTGAATTGTTGCTTTCTAGCAAACAACGCTTATCCCACTTATTTTAAGAACAAAGAAAAAAGTCGCTACATCAAGGTGCTTACGAGAGTTTGGCCGATAGATTGATGTACACTTTATGATGCCGCGTTGTGTGAAAATAAGCAGCGGGTACCATTTTTTCATATTGCAATAAAATGATAACGGGTTGCTGTATACGTTTGAAACGTTCAGGTTAGATAGCTAAATGGTGTTACTATCAGAATTAGTGATAAACCCTTGCTAGCAGAAAAAAAAAATAATCATCGAAAAAAGTGTGTTATGTCTGGCCTTAATAATCGTATTTTAAATTTGCGATCCAGCTTTTCAATGATGCCAAATACAATATGGTGGCGGACATTGAACTTCTAATAATGAGTGTTTAAGATTTTTTTTTTCAGATTTTCTTTCAGAGTCTTTGTCCTTCCAACATTATTACAAGGCGGTAGGGGCCTAATTGTTTGGACTTTAGAGTTATCTCCCCTAGATAGTTTACTGTCCCCAGCTATCGAGTTGTCTCCCCTAAATTCGAGTCTAATCTACACGGATGTTTGAATTAGGGCCTCTTTGGTATAGCAACAATAAGAATTATAATAATTCCCTTTACATAATTCAAATGACAAATTTATATTATGTTTGTGTAAATCGATCAACTCATTCTGAAACATTTAATCACAATAGGATACCGGAATTAATAAAGTAAAACATATTTGTCACTATAAACACATAGGTGATTAATAATTTTAAAAATTCAATAAAACGCTGATAATTTTTCAAAATAATTTCCAATAAGAAAAAAAATGTTTCTTAATCGTAAAACTCGAATGTTCTGATATTTTACTCTTCGTATAATATGAAATCGACCTGTATAGTAACTCAAATAGTATCTATATAAGTGTATATTTGTGTTTCTTATAATACGACAGTTATGTATTTTTATATGAATTATTATGCTAATTATATGTGTCATCATACTGCTTTTACTTCTAATTTAATTGTAAATTAAATTTGGCAATTTGGCAAGCCATAACTTAAGATGGTGTCGGTGTTTTCTTTTCCAACTAGTATCGAATCTGATACTAGGTAATTAATAAGATTTGTTTGAAAACTATGAAAGTTTAAGCTATTTTAACAAATAATTATTGCAAATATATATTATTGATTTTATGATTTATTTACGATAATGTTAATTTAATTACATTGTTTCCTATTTATATAAATATGTGCATTACTTTAGAACGGCGGGAAAATACGTCAATTCCTTTCTCGATATTTTAAGAAAATCGATTTCAAATCGTCGCCAATTGTTTTGTCTAAATACCGATACATTTTATTTCATGGTCATATGTTGTAAAATTAAATTATCCATTTGCACCAATGTAAATAGTAATCAGATTAACCAAGTTATCGACTACAAAAACATGGCTATTCAATGTTAATTTTAATAGCAGAAATAATTACAGGTGATAGTTTTATTAATGTACATTATATTGATTAAATTATTTTACATTTTGTTTAGAGGAATACATTATTTGCTGTAATGAAATACTTAAAATAATGCGGTCTTTCTATTTAAAATATATTTATAAATTCAAAATTACCAACAAAAATATAAAATTAACTAGTTGGAGATAGGACCAGTTGAACATAGTTCCAGTAAGATATTAAACTTAGAATATAGGACCAGGAGAACATTAGACAAGTAGAACATAGAACTAGTAGAACATAGCACCAGTAGAACATAGTACCAGTAGAACATAGCACCAGTAGAACATAGCACCAGTAGAACATAGCACCAGTAGAACTTAGGACCAGTAGAACATAGCACCAGTAGAACATAGGACCAGTAGAACATAGGACCAGTAGAACATAGCACCAGTAGAACATATGACCAGTAGAACATAGCACCAGTAGAACATAGCACCATTAGAATATAGCAACAGTGCAACATAGCACTAGTAGAACATAACACCAGTAGAACATAGCACCAGTAGAACATAGCACCAGTAGAACATAGAACCAGTATATATATATATATAGTTCGGACCCACGGGCGATGCCATTTAGGGAGGTGGGGGAGGGTTGGGTGTTAATGCAAAAAAATTAGCAAAAAAAAAATGGAAAAAATATACTCATTGCAGTTTATTTTTTAGAAGCAATGCTACATCCAGCTATATTTAAACAATTATAGATAAACAAGGTAAGTTAGGTATGTGTGATATATGTGCTAGTCTACGGTCAGTTAGGTATGTGTGATATATGTGCTAGTCTACGGTCAGTTAGGTATGTGTGATATATGTGCTAGTCTACGGTCAGTTAGGTATATGTGATATATGTGCTAATCTACGGTCAGTTAGGTATGTGTAATATATGTGCTAGTCTACGGTCAGTTAGGTATTTGTGATATATGTGCTAGTCTACGGTCAGTTAGGTATGTGTGATATATGTGCTAGTCTACAGATAGTTAGGTATGTGTGATATATGTGCTAGTCTACAGTCAGGTATGTGTGATATATGTGCTAGTCTACAGTCAGTTAGGTATGTGTGATATATGTGCTAGTCTATGGTCAGTTAGGTATGTGTGATATATGTGCTAGTCTACGGTCAGTTATGTATTTGTGATATATGTGCTAGTCTACGGTCAGTTAGGTATGTGTGATATATGTGCTAGTCTACGGTCAGTTAGGTATGTGTGATATATGTGCTAGTCTACGGTCAGTTAGGTATGTGTGATATATGTGCTAGTCTACGGTCAGTTAGGTATGTGTGATATATGTGCTAGTCTACGGTCAGTTAGGTATGTGTGATATATGTGCTAGTCTACGGTCAGTTAGGTATGTGTGATATATGTGCTAGTCTACGGTCAGTTAGGTATGTGTGATATATGTGCTAGTCTACGGTCAGTTAGGTATGTGTGATATATGTGCTAGTCTACGGTCAGTTAGGTATGTGTGATATATGTGCTTGTCTACGGTCAGTTAGGTATATGTGATATATGTGCTAGTCTACGGTCAGTTAGGTATGTGTGATATATGTGCTAGTCTACGGTCAGTTAGGTATGTGTGATATATGTGCTAGTCTACGGTCAGTTAGGTATGTGTGATATATGTGCTAGTCTACGGTCAGTTAGGTATGTGTGATATATGTGCTAGTCTACGGTCAGTTAGGTATGTGTGATATATGTGCTAGTCTACGGTCAGTTAGATATGTGTGATATATGTGCCAGTCTACGGTCAGTTAGGTATGTGTGATATATGTGCTAGTCTACGGTCAGTTAGGTATTTGTGATATATGTGCTAGTCTACGGTCAGTTAGGTATGTGTGATATATGTGCTAGTCTACGGTCAGTTAGGTATGTATGATATATGTGCTAGTCTACGGTCAGTTAGGTATGTGTGATATATGTGCTAATCTACGGTTAGTTAGTTATGTGTGATATATGTGCTAGTCTACGGTCAGTTAGGTAGGTGTGATATGTGTGCTAGTCTACGGTCAGTTAGGTATGTGTAATTTATGTGCTGTCTACAGTTAGTTAGGTATTTGTGATATATGTGCTAGTCTACGGTCAGTTAGGTATGTGTGATATATGTGCTAGTCTACGGTCAGTTAGGTATGTGTGATATATGTGCTAGTCTACGGTCAGTTAGGTATGTGTGATCATGTGCTAGTCTACGGTCAGTTAGGTATGTGTGATATATGTACTAGTCTACGGTCAGTTAGGTATGTGTGATATATGTGCTAGTCTACAGTCAGTTAGGTATGTGTGATATATGTGCTAGTCTACGGTAAGTTAGGTATGTGTGATATATGTACTAGTCTACGGTCAGTTAGGTATGTGTGATATATGTGCTAGTCTACGGTCAGTTAGGTATGTGTGATATATGTGCTAGTCTACGGTCAGTTAGGTATGTGTGATATATGTGCTAGTCTACGGTCAGTTAGGTATGTGTGATATATGTGCTAGTCTACGGTCAGTTAGATATATGTGATATATGTGCTAGTCTACAGTCAGTTAGGTATGTATGATATATGTGCTAGTCTACGGTCAGTTAGGTATGTGTGATATATGTGCTAGTCTACGGTCAGTTAGGTATGTGTGATATATGTGCTAGTCTACGGTCAGTTAGGTATGTGTGATATATGTGCTAGTCTACGGTCAGTTAGATATATGTGATA